ATGTTTTTGTATAGAATAAGAGTGACATACGAGCACACAGTCGTCTGATGGTAAGTAGATGCTGTGGCCTATAGACATTTACGACCAACCTTGATTAAGAATCAATATGCAGATGCATTGTCACACCTGAGGACTAAGATGGAACGCCTTGTTTCCATTAAAAAGGCTTACCGGTCTACACTCATCATACAAAACACTGAGATCGTATTTTACGCTGGTACCTGTGAGAGCGTGATCCTTCCCCGGTGGAGCCGACCCATAAGTGCTACAACCATAATAATATAGCTGCAACATGGCTCTACCATGTGTAAAATATATACTTTCAAGTACATAATGTTAAGAATGACAACTTTAACATTAACTTTGTCATTTTAAAAAGACTGTAAGCAAAATAAAATTAGGCGTTTTAATGCAGGGTTCATTTTTATATTTTATAAAAAAATCCTCAACTACCTATCGCTCATTCCTATAAAACATAACGTCCCAAATTAATACCCTATAATCTAATAATTAGATTGATATCAATAAATTGGCATTGCAATCGTAAACGTCATAGATCCGGATTACCCATTCGAACTGATAACTGTCATATAATCCTTGTATGCATTTTCTGCCGACTTCCAAAAAGGAGACGGTACTCAATTCGAGTGTATGTTTTTATTTATGTGTGTTACCTCATAACTTTTTTCTGGTTGAACCGATTTCGAAGATTCTTTTTTTATTTGAAATCTGGTACTTCTTGTGTATTCCCTTATGAATTTGATCAAGGTCAGATCAATAGTTTTTGAGTTATTCTTTTAATTTTTAATTATAACTTGAGCGGTCCACGGTATTATATAATAATATTATTATTTTACTTTAAAGAAAAATCTCTAACGAAAAAATCTGTTACTTTTAATGCATTAATTAATTTATATATCTTTTTACGCTAATGTATGTTTTCTTTTTACTTATTCGTCTCTAAATTTTCGACTGCCGAAGACGTATCCGTGAATACGTAAAATATTTCATTATTATAAGCTGCCGCATTAAATGGTTTGGAAAGATAGCAAAAAGAATCATCTCTTTGTCTACTACAGAGCTAAATTCTATTCAGAATTTCGGTGCGCTTTCTTAAAGAATTTTCTTTTTATAGAATACCGGTCATGTCTCCTTAGTCTGTTTAGATTACCGCCATATTTCCAGTTAAAGATCCAAATATTATAGAAAGCAGAGTTTATTTTCATGAGTTTGAAATTATATTATGACTAAAATATTTTGTAAACAAATTAAACCACAGTAGTATAATTGTTCTATACATACATACATCTTTCACGTTCGTTAGTCGAATACTTTTGATGAACGTCACGCGTAATTTCAACAAACAAGGAGCTGCAGGAGTTGAGTGCATACGTTAACTTGTTTTTGATATAACGAGTAGTTAGTTTCCAAACGTCGTCGATGTATTCTACTAATTGATTGTTATTTTTTTTATAAAGTAACGATTAGAAACGAGCACATAGTCCACATGGTGGTAATTGGATACTGTAGTCCACATATAAGATATATCCTCGATTAAAAATCAATATGCAGATGCGTTGTCACCCCTGCGGACTAAGACAGAATGCACGAGGCATCTATCCAGTAAAAAGGATCTCGAGTTCTTTACACTCGCCATACGAAAAACAGCACCATTAAGCTGCTATTGGTCCTTCCCCGGTCAAGATGATCGATTGCTGGTACAACTATAATATAGCTACAGTATCCCTCTACCACTTTAAGTGATAACAGTTTATTTATTGACAGATGAACAACGGTTATATTAACTAGTCTGTTGATTCAACGCCCCAGCCCGATCGAAAATGTGAACGTTTCCGCTCAAGGTCCGGGCCTACCCTCTATTCTCTTCCTCACCTAGTTACGTCACTATGTAATGCAGATGGCATTACATTAGTTTTGCTTCGTCGTTTGAAGGAGATTACGAAAATGTAAGGATGACGTTTAACCAAGTTCATGCGATCATGTTGCTGCTAATCACAGAGTACAATAGGATGATACTGACATATTATGCTTCCGGTCCGCACCAGCCTTAAGACGTGGAGTTTTTTTTTCAGTCGTATCATTACCCTTTTGATAAAACGACAAAGGAGTGGAATTCCATTCACTGATTTTTTTCTGCAGGTAGAGCTTGCTTATTTCAAAATACTTGATTAAAACAAAGATTTTGACAAATGAAATTCAGTAAAAGACATTCATTTAATTTGACTTCAATTTACTTCATCAGCCTCACTTGACTGCAAGCTTAATCTTCATGTTTTACCAGTGCAAAGTAGTACTTTTCTTCTAAATACCAAACGAAGGCCTCAGACACTGAAAGTGGGCACGCAGATTTAGAATATGCATCGCGGACCGAGACGAGTCACCTGCCCAGCATATTGAGAAAACAGATTGCCTTTGCAAGTGTAGATTCGAATCCATGTAATAATGTAAGATTTTTTTTATAGGATAGGGTGACAAACGAGCACACAGTTCACCTGATGGTAAGTGGTTGCTGTAGCCCATAGACATCTACATCTATCGTTTGCGAATCAAATGTAGATGCGTTGTCACCCGTGAGGACTAAGATGGAATGCCTCTTTTCCAGTAAAAGGGTCTCCAGTTCTCTATACTCACCATACGAAACACAGCAGCATTAAGCTGCTATTTTACGCTGGTATTCTGTGAGAGCGTGGTCCTTCCGCGGTCGAACCGACCCATTCGTGCTACAACTATACTACTAATATAGCTGCAGCATGGCTCTACCACGTTAAATCTGATCTGGGACGCGTTCATAAAGGATTACAGTTGATCTGAGACTTGAGCGTGTAGTAGTGATGAAAGAATATCCATTACCTCATGTCGTCCCTTGAATGTCGTGAGAGGTGACAGACGGAAAAAAATCAGAAGATGGCCAGCAGCGTGTCCTCGTCATCATCAATACGGGCTGTATTGATGATGACGAGGACACAAGTCCACTGCTGAATATAGGCCTCCCCCAAGGAATGGCACAAAACACGGTCTTGAGTCATCTGAATCCATCGACTTTCTGCATGTCTTACCAGGTCTTCACTCCATCTAGTGGGGGGATGCCCTACACTTCGTCCGCCAGTACGAGGCCGTCACTCGAGAACTTTTCTTCCTATGGGTTGTCGCTTCTTCGAGCTATATGGCCGGCCCATTGCCACTTCAGCTTACTAATCCCTTAGGCTATCTCTGTCACTCTGGTTCTAATGCGAATATCCTCATTTCTAAGTTTATCATATAGAGAAACCCCGAGCATCTTCGATCTCAGTGCTCCGTAATATCATCCGAATAGTATCGGATAAGACTTGCTCTAAAATCTTTACTCACACCGGCGTGTGGCTCCAACGATGATGTGTACAGCTGCCCATAAAACCTCTCAATCTCACTCATAATCTCAGGTGTCCCAGAAACGACGCAGCCACACTCGGTCTTCAGCTTCGTCAGTTGGTTCTTTCTTGCAGACGGATCTCTAGCAAAGACTTTGGACCTGGTTCCATTCCCAATAGATAGCATCTTTAATACGAGCTGTACTGAAGTTACGTCCCGCCGCATGCATTTGGAGATCTGTCTGTTCAGTTGACTATACGCTGTTAAATCTGCTGAAGAATGCAGCTTCATTTTCCGTCTAACAACTATGATATTAAGAGTGTGATCGGAGAATTTTTGTGTTCTTATGCGGCGGGTCTTGCAGAACTTAGCTTCGACCGCATGGACAGTTTCCACGAGCTTGAAATTCAATGCATTAGGGGACTACTGCATTGCAATCTTCTAGACACTGAAAACGGTTTTGTAGCTCGAGCTGAAAGGTTTCTGTGATATATGTAGGTATAAATTAATATTGTATTATGTAGGTAGGCGCCACCGCGCGTCTTCCCCAGCGAGTCGCTCAATACATGCTATGAAGTCACACCGTGTTTTATTATTAAAATACCGAGTTATCCAGAATCTCTCAGTGGCGACGAGGATAGCAACGAACTCTTGGAAAAGTATTTGTAAACGACAAGTATTTAATTAAAATGTCGATTGGAAGAATTCCTGAGTTTGACCTACATAAGGACGATTGGAGGTCATACGTCGACCGCCTCGAACAATATTTTGTTGTCAACAAAATTTCGGAGGATTTACAAGTTCCGACGTTAATTACCGTGATGGGAGCCGAGTGTTACGAACTGTTAGTGAATTTATGTACTCCAACCAAACCAAAAGATAAATCTTTTTTGGAAATCACAAACATTCTAGAAAAACATCTCCAACCAAAACCAAGTACCCTCGCAGAAAGATATAAATTCCGGCATAGGAAACAAAAAAGTTGTGAAACAATAGCGGAGTATGCAGCAATATTGAAGAGGATGTCGAAATCTTGTGAATTTGGTCAATGGTTGGAAGAAAGTTTAAGAGATCAGCTAGTGTGCGGTATTCTAAGTGAAACTATAAGGCAACGACTATTCGCAGAAGGCACGTTGGAATATGGGAAAGCGTATAGCTTGGCAGTGAACATGGAGGCGGCGGAGAAGGATGCAGCGGCTGTGGAAGGATACGGGCAAGGTGAATCGTCGGGCAGCTCGAGCACGGCTGAGTGCCAGGCGATGGCAGCGACTCGAAGTGGCAACGGACGCGGTCGGCCAGGGAGGACGGCACCTACGGCATCGAGGTGGCAGCGGCAGCAAGGAAAAGCAGCGGACGGAGCACAACAATGTGCTGCGTGCGGTGGACCCCATGGCGGCACGAAGTGTCGGTTCGCGGCATATGTGTGCAGAGTATGTAATCGTAAGGGGCATCTACGTCGGATGTGCCCAAACTTGACGACGTACCATCACGTAGACATCGGAACACCTAAAGTGGTCGAATTGGACGAGACGGACAGTGACGAGGTAAGAATATTTGATATAAAAAAATTGTCCATAGAAGAGTGTACACCGCTATGTATTTCAATCAACGTTCACGGAAAAGATATTGACATGGAGTGTGACACGGGTAGCGCCGTATCTTGTATAAGTTACAAATTTTATAAACATAATTTTAGTGATTTACCTATCAGCAAATGTAATGTTTTACTTAGATATTACACAGGTGAAATAGTTCGTCCGGTGGGGGTGGCTACGCCACTAGTGAGGTATAAAAATACACAAAAAAAATTAAATTTGTTCATAATCAGAGATGGTAAAACCGTTCTTTTGGGTCGACAGTGGTTAGCCGAACTTAAAATTCAACTACCAGTGTTTCAGTATCACGATGTAAACAATGTTAATTATAAGGATTTTGACGAAAGTAATTTTATGTATAGATTCAGTGAAGTATTTGCGGATGGGCTTGGACGGTTCAGCGGCGGGCGGGTTAGCATCCACCTGCGGCAGGGGGCGCGGCCGGTGTTCATGCGCGCGCGTCCTCTGGCGTATGCGCTGCGGGAACCGGTGGAGCGAGCGCTCGAGCAGCTGGTGCGAGACGGCGTCCTCACGCCGGTGGAGCGCTCCGACTGGGCCACACCCATTGTACCCGTTCTCAAAAAGGATGGTAATATTAGAATATGCGCTGATTATAAATTAACACTGAATAAAGTACTAGAAGTCGACCGTTATCCCTTGCCACGCATAGATGATTTGTTATCGCGTTTACATGGCGGTGAACGTTTCAGTAAGATTGATTTATCTCAGGCGTACGCTCAGTTGGAGCTTGACGAATCAAAAAAGTATACGGTTATCAATACACATAAGGGTTTATACATGTACAATCGACTAGTTTACGGCTTGTCGTCGAGTCCAGGAATTTTTCAAAAACACTTAGAAGAATTATTGACAGGGTTACCGAACGTGGGTGTATTTTTAGATGACGTAATTATAACGGGTCCTGATAGTCGTAGTCACATAAAAAATTTATATAAAGTGTTCTAGCGATTGCAGTCTCACGGGTTGCGCGTTAAGATAGAAAAATGTGTATTTTTCGCAGAATCTATTAACTACTTAGGGCACGTCATTAGTAAAGAGGGTGTTCACACGTGTCCGGAAAAAGTCCGGGCAATTGTAAACACGCCTACACCCACCAATATTTCAGAACTGCGATCTTTCATCGGGCTAGTAATGTATTATGGTAAATTCGTACGAAATGTTAGTTCATTGCTGGCCCCGTTATATCGTTTGCTAAAAACCGGGGTTCGATTCCTGTGGAGTACTGAGTGTCAATTGGCATTCAATGAAGTAAAAAAAATATTAAGTTCGAGCGAAGTGCTTGCTCATTATACGTTAGACTTACCCGTGGTACTGACGGCGGACGCCAGCGGGGTCGGAGTCGGCGCCGTGATATCGCATATCACTGAGGAGGGAGAGCGGCCGATCGCATATGCGTCGCGTACTCTCAGCGCGGCCGAGCGGGCCTATGCGCAGATAGATCGAGAGGCCTTAGCAATAATATTCGGTATTAAAAAGTTTCATCAGTACTTATATGGTAGAAAATTCGTTTTAAGGACTGATCACAAACCCTTGACGTATATTTTCGGCAGTAAAGTGGGCATTCCAGTTATGGCCGCTTCGAGATTACAGCGTTGGGCAGTATTATTGTCGGGATACAATTATGACATAGAATATGTAAGTTCACACAAAAATTGTGCAGATGCGTTATCTCGTTTGCCGCAACCGGTACATAAACGGCTTCCGAAGTCGGAGGGAATGAATTACATTAATTTCGTAGAAAATTTTCTCCCGGTCACAAATGATGACGTCAGAACGGCAACAGCAAGCGATCCGGAATTAAGTAGAATTTTAACCTATGTTCAGTCCGGATGGCCCGCGTCCTGCCCAAAAGAAGTGTTGCAGCAATATTATATTAAACGTAATGAACTATACATAGATAGGGGCTGTATTATGTGGGGTTACCGCTTGGTGATACCGCGCACTTTAAGAAAAAAAATACTTATGCAATTACATACTGGTCACATGGGCATTGTTAAAACTAAGTCCATAGCTCGAAGTTACGTATGGTGGCCTAATATAGATACAGACGTCGAATCCGAATGCCGAGCATGTGAGACGTGCGCGGTGGAGTCACAAGCACCCCCGCGCACCCCACCGCAGCCTTGGCCGTACCATTTGCAGCCATGGAGCAGACTCCATATAGATTTTTTAGGCCCTTTTAACGGAAAAAAATTTCTTATTTTAATAGACTCCAGTACGAAATGGCTAGAAGTGTTTGAAATGCCAAAAACAAATGCTACAGCGGTTATTAAGGTATTACGGTGTACGTTCGCAAGATTCGGCTTACCACTAGAGCTAGTATCGGATCAAGGGCCACCCTTCACTAGCGCGGAATTTAAGGAGTTTTTAACACGAAATGGTATTCAGCAACGTTTCTCGCCTGCTTATCACCCGTCTTCGAATGGCGCCGCGGAAAATGCTGTAAATATTTGTAAAAAAGCAATAAAAAAAGCACATAGGGAATCAATCGATGTTGACGCCGCGTTGCAAACATTTTTACTTACTTATCGTAACAGTATACACAGCAGCACAGGTGAAAGCCCTTCAATGCTGTTACAAAAACGAACGTTACGATCACGGCTAGACTTATTACGAAGCGATCGCGCGCTCATAAATAAGGTAAATCAGGCTCAAAGTAAGCAAGTGGAGTACACGGGCGGGGTGCAGCGCTCGTTTGCACCGGGGGAACCTGTGTGGGTGCGAGAGTACGGCCACAAGGATAGGTGGGTGAAGGGAACGATAGTTCATGGCGAAGGTTCGAGGAGATATTCTGTGGACAAGGGGGACAGTCGACAAGTAGTTAAGCACGTTGATCAAATCAAGCGCAGATCAGGGTTGTACGACATACCATTCCCTGAGGAGCAAAGCGAGTCAATGAGGGTACAAATACCTGATAGTAGTGGCTCGGCGAGAGACGGAATGTCGAAGGAGGACGACGGCCCGGACACATCTCCGACTACGGTTGTGGGTGATTCGGGAAAGGAGAGGAAACGGGTTTCGAGTGAACGCATTAAAAGTCCTGGAATCGAATATAGTACACCGCCAACGTCACCTAGTGCACCGTCGCCTGAACCGCCTCGAGCCCGATCCGGGCGAGTTCGTAAACCTGTTGTTAGGTTTCAAGTTTAGCTTAGTTTATTAGATTTAGTAACTAAGTTTAGTTTAGTTTATTACATTTATAGATAATATATTATATAGTTAAGGTATTATTATAAGTAAAGTTAGGTTTAAGTTAGGTTTCAAGTTTAGCTTAGTTTATTAGTTTATTAGATGTAGTAACTAAGTTTAGTTTAGTTTATTAGATTTATAGATAATGTATTATATAGTTAAGGTATTATTATAAGTACATTTGTGATTACATAATTTATGTACCTTACTTAATAATATCTGATAATACCATATATTAAGAAGGGAGGTGTGATATATGTAGGTATAAATTAATATTGTATTATGTAGGTAGGCGCCACCGCGCGTCTTCCCCAGCGAGTCGCTCAATACATGCTTTGAAGTCACACCGTGTTTTATTATTAAAATACCGAGTTATCCAAAATCTCTCAATTTCAAGACTTTAGATTAGAGCACGAGGGGGACGGAGCATTGACTTCATTATACGATACCTCCCCAACGTTTAGGTTCAGTATATCTCTAACCATTCGGTGATCGCTACCAGTTTTCACTGAGACATCACTGAACAGTTGTCGTCTGGTCGTTATAATGAAGTTAATCTAATTTTTTGTTTAACCGTCGGGGCTCGACCAAGTCCAATTCATGTGGGGCTGTTGTTACAAGAAAGAGTTTATCATAAAGAGTCGCTCTTTCACCATGAAATCGGCCAGCTGCTGGGCCCTTGAGTTCCATTGCCCTATTTATCCTAACGCCCAACTTCTGTCGTGTGAACTTTAGTCGCCGTGTTTTTATTCCGTTTCTCGGTAAAAATGACAAGTTTTAAAATGGAGTCTGCTTTCGCTGATTTGTCAAAGAATGTAGAAGCGTTGACAACAAAAATCACAACGCAAGTGACGCTGATTGATGCACAGAATAAGAAGATTGAAAATCAGCAGCGCATTATTGAGAAATTGTTGTCGACGATAAGTGACCTGAAGAGGGTAATCGAAGAAATGCCCGCCAGAACAATCGACCTATTGCGGGCTGGGCAGTCAACCAGCGAGACCGACGTGCCGACTAAGGTACTGACACTCCCAAGTGCGAGCAAGACACCGATATCCTCAGATACGGTCGCCTTATCAGAGATAAAAATAACGCAGCGCGCGCGTCGAGCAATGCAGCGGGAAAAAAAGGCTGTTTCCACACTGGAAGTAAAAAATACAGAAAAAGAAGATTCAACTATAATTGAAACGTCTGCGACTGAAGAATGGAAAGTAGTAGGTGGCCATAAAAAGTCTAAAAAGACCTATCTTAAGGCAATCCAAACTGGAGGAAACGCCCAAATCGGTTCGTTCCAGGCTATACAGAAGAAGAAGTTTTTACACGTGTGGTCACTCCATCTCGAAACCTCGGAAGATGCAATAAGGGAACACGTGAAAAAAATTTGTGGTTCTGAGGATATCAAAATTGAAAAGATTGTTCCAAAAACCAAGAGAGACTATTCGTCATTCAGGATTGGTGTTCCAGAATCCACGTTTGAAAAAGTGAACTGCAGAGATAGTTGGCCAATACATACCAGATTTAATGAATGGGTGTGGTTTCGAAACACCCGTAAACCAGCAACAGGTAATGAAAACCTGTTATAAGGACATTAATGTGTACTACCAGAATGTTAGAGGACTTAGAACAAAATTATCTACTTTTTATTTGAATATTTTGGAGTCACCGTACGACTTATTTGCAAATACGGAATCAAGTCTTCATAGATCCATACATGACGGTGAACTTATCCCTCCTGGTTTCCAAATAGTGCGATGCGATCGAGCTGATGGCCGCAAACACGGAGGAGTATTTCTAGCTTCTTCGTCATCGCTAGAGTTGAGATGCGTTCCTGTCGGCAATGTGGACACCGCCTTATTTGAAATCGTGTGTGCGACGGTACACCGTGATAAGAAATTAATGTTTCTATGTTGCGTTGTTTACATCCCACCGCATAGTGTAGCTAGAGAATACATGCAATTATTTCTTATATTAGAAAATGTTTGTGTTAAATACAATAATGTTATAGTGCTTGGTGACTTTAATATGCCTTCAGCACCTGTGGAAATGCACAGTTATATGGAATATTTTAACGCCGCCTGTGGATTTTGCCAGGTAAATAATGTCCGTAATATTAACAACCGTACTTTAGATTTAGTGTTTACAACGTTTTTAGCACGTGACGTGGAGGTAAAGTTGTGTAATGACCCGTTAGTAGATATTGACGTACAACATCCTCCGGTGTATGTCAGCGTGACAATGGGCACTGCCAGGGAGCCGCAGGCGCAACGCCTCTATTCTCGTGATGAGATTGATAAATCTTTTATTAAACGTAGATGGAATTTCTATAAAGCCAATTTTCATATTTTATACGATAGCTTTCAACAAATTGATTGGGGTAATTTGTATCAAATTGACACCCCGGAGGTAGCCATATCGGAGCTATATACAGTTGTAAATGAGGTAATAGACCGTTTAATTCCTAGAGCCCGTAGGGCCAAACTTAATAGGAATCATTCCAGGTATGTTTACCCGGAATGGTACTCATCCGATTTAATACGCGATATAAAGCGAAAGTGGAGGTATCATAAACTGTATAAAATGACGGGTGCGCAATGTGATTACGAGGCGTTTTCTCGGTATCGATCTCAGATAAAACATAAGTTAAAAGTCAATTATGAAGCCTACCAGGAGAAATTACAGCTGAATTTTAAGGACGATCCGAAATCTTTTTGGGATTACGTAAGATGCAAGCAGTCAAAACGTAACAAACCTCGAGTAACAAAAAACGGTCTGGAGTTAAGTGAGTCATCGAGTGCGCAATGTTTCGCGTCTTATTTCCAAACTGTGTATAGCGAAACGCGACCGGCGCTGGACCCGGAGGCGGCGGAGCGTGCGGCGAGCGCGCGTGCTGGCGCAGCTCGTGTGCACGTCGGCCAGCTGAGCGTGCGCGACATCCGCACCGCTCTCGCACGCCTCAAGCCTAAGCGCTCTGTAGGCCCTGACGGTATACCACCTTACATAGTCAAAGACTGTCGCTCTGTTTTTGAAAAGCCTCTGCTTCACGTTTTTAACCTGTGTCTCCGAGAAGGCTACTATCCCGAAGAATGGAAATTGACAAGAGTAATACCGGTGCCTAAAGGAGGTTCGAATTCAGATGTGAGCGGATACCGACCTGTGGCGGTGCTGTCTGCGTTCGCCAAGGTATTTGAATCCGCATTACAAAAATGTATTTATACGCAGATCAGTTCGCAGCTGACCGACGTTCAGCATGGGTTTCGGCCGGGTCGAAGTACAGCGAGTAACTTGCTGTCATTTATGACATACCTGACGCCAGTTATTGACGCTGGGGGGCAGGTTGATGCCGCTTACTTCGACTTTCGGAAAGCTTTTGATACCGTGGATAACGACATCCTTTTAGAAAAATTTGCGGCGGTGGGTTTCACACCGCATCTTTTAAAATTTTTCGCGAGTTACCTTGGTGAACGCCGGCAGTACGTCGAGTTCGCGGGGTATGAATCTGAACCTTACTTCACGTTTTCGGGTGTGAGCCAGGGGAGTAATTTGGGCCCCTTAGAGTTCATATTATTGATAAACGATCTCCCAGAAGTCATTAAGGACTCGAAATGTCTCCTATTTGCAGACGACTTAAAACTGTTTTTGTCGGTAGCGGACGTTTCGGATTGTGAGCAGCTTCAGCGGGATATAGATAGGGTCGTGCAGTGGAGTGCAATTAACAAGTTATATTTTAACACGTCGAAGTGTGAGGTGATAAGTTACGGGCGTAGACAGGCGCCGCTGCAATACCGGTACGAGGTTGACGGAACGGTGATGCCGCGCGTTTCTTTCGTACATGACTTAGGTGTGCAGATCGTGGCGGAGTTGACGTTTCGTAGGCACATTGAAGATACCTGCGGTAAGGCATTCCGAAACTTAGGTTTTATCCTAAGGAATTGCAGGGATTATCTTAGTACGGCGATTATTAAAGTTTTATACAATGCACTTGTTCGTAGCCGGCTGGAAACGAGTGCAATTATTTGGAATCCCCATGAAGATAAGTATATCAACATGGTGGAAAAAATTCAAAATAAATTCACGCGGTTCCTTTATTTAAAGGAGTACGGCGTCTATCCTTTCTACCCGCTGATGTACCCGAGCTTGTTCGTGATCGGCATGGTTGGGTACAGCCAGCTTGGTGTGAGGCGTGACGTCGCACTCTGCAAGTACGTGTGGAGTGTCTTGCGTGGCCAGCTATACCGTCCTGAGGTACTGGAGGCGTTGCAGCTGTTTGTGCCTGATAAGGTGGTGGTTAGGCGTCGCCCACATCCCACTTTTAAGGTGCCACACGCTAGGACAAATCTGCTCAGGTTTGCACCTATGTCACGGGCTTTAAAGTTATTGAATATTATTTCCGAAGAAACTGACATTTTTCACTGCAGCCTGGCAAAGTTCACAGAAGCGGCGCACAGGGTCTGTGAGATTTTTTCATAATTTTTTTTTTTTTTGTTTTTTTTTTCTCTCTATTTATATTTTTTTTCTTAATTATAATAGTATTAAGCATATATTTTATGTCTGTAGTTATATTTATCACTTGTTATTTGGTTTTTGTACAGCATCTTCTTGGTTTTGTACTGTTATGATGCTGTTACTGTTTTTGTGTAAATAAAATAAAAAAAAAAATAAAAAAAAAAATTTCCCTACCCTCAGCTCACCGTTCTCTCTTGTGCCTTGTTTTGCGTTGAAGTCTCCCATTAACGCCGTATAGTGGGTTTTCGAGGAATCCATGGCTCTATATATATCCTCATACATTTCATCCACAAAAGTTACACAAAACAATAAAATACCTTGGTTGCTTACCGCCTGCGAAGCTTGGCAACTACGGCACATATCTAGCCTATGAAGCAATCCTTAAAGGAGGCCTCTGTTCTGCAATGTACTGGTGATAAGCTGTAAGGTAACGGTATGGCGATAATGGTATCGTCTTT